AGGCAAAATTTGCTGTTTTTATGAAACTTTACACATTTTAAGAAACTTCGTATTTTATGTGCAACAAGCATGATCTCCTTAAACCCAAGTCCAAAGTGTACTTTTCATGACCGTCAAATTCAGCTGATCATTAGTGTGGTTCTTGGATGTATTCCTTATGCTAATACATCCATAATTTAATTAAATATATCCCAGTGACCCCAAATAAAAATTTTAAAGATATTTCAAGTTAAAAGGCCATAACCAAGAAATATGGTATACACTTTAGTCATCTAGTTATAACAATATCCCAGCACCAAATAAACCAGTATTTGTTCCTGCAAAGATATTAATTTTTTTCAAACACAAGATGCTATATTCTAACATCTCAAAGCATTTCTAAAATATATTAAACTTCTTTTAATACAACAGGCCCAACTACTGCCCATATTATAAAAAATGAAATGCATTAGAAGCCTGAGCATTTACTAAAATAACTTTTAAAATTTAATATAAAATATGAAAGTTGTCTAGCTGGGTATGGTGGTGCACACCTGTAATCCCAGCACTCAGGAGGCTGAGGCAGGAGGATCACAATTTCAAAGGCAGCCTGAACTGCATACCAAGACCTTGTCTCAAAAAAAAAAAGCTGTTCTTTTGTTTAAAAAGAACAGCTTTCTTGTGTGCTGGAACCCATGGCTAGTTTTCATATTTTCACACCACCTACCCCTCTACCCTGTGATACATAATATGTTCAGGAAACATTTCTCTAATGAATAAATTGCATATAAGTACACAATAAACTATCAAGAACTTTAATAACCCCCTCATTTCTAAATGATTTTTCTGAAACTAAAGCCACCCAAGATAAACATTTGCATCTTGGATAAACTTATCCACAGATATTTCATGTATATAATCCACATTACTAGAGCAGAGAGTGGTTATGAGCCATTTAATGGAATTGTGGAAGAGTTGTAAGGTTCTCAAGATACTCAAAAAGTATAAAAATCACTACCATTCTTTTAGAATCCCTATAGAACTGTTTTCAGAATCAATTAAGATATACAAAAATCCTTCTTTAACTAAACTCGCACTGTTTAACAATGTATCACATACCTCACTTACCAGATTCACCCTCAAAAGACCCATGACTATTTTTAACATTAAATGTATTCTCTAGTTATGAAGATTTGCCAGTAGTGAGGACAAGGAAAATAATTTACCAGTATCTCCAAAAGAAGTCATTCAAAAACAGCCACAGCATTACTATAAAAAAAGTTTAACCTACAGAAGTTGCTCACTTGAAAAAGAACATATTCACAGAATATATGCATTCAGATTATATTTCTTTAAAAAGTAACAGTATCCATAGGAAAAATTCAATTGCTTCCCATGATACCAATTTAATTATATTATGCTTCCAGTATCTATGATACCAATTAATTGTTCTGAGTTTTAGGGAATAATATCATTTCTACTCCATAGGTTTCATTATTTGAAATGAGAAGAAAGCAAGCTAACAGCTTGCTTACAAGCTATGAACCACCTTTTTCCTCAAAATCAAAAAGAGCTGAAAAGAAGCAATAAACAACAGCTAACTAATCTGACTAAGCCTTTATAAAGTTTTACTATGGAATAATTATATCCTAGATTCAGTTAGAAGTAGCAATTTCGAGTATCTACCCACACAATCTTTCCTCTTCAAATAGCAAAAATATCTATGACTGATAATGGAGAGTTCACTTTGATTTCATTTTCTCTGAATACTGTTTTCAATTATCTTTGAATATATATAAGGTATATCTGATACTTATTTTATAAATATCAGTCAAACATTTAAAATTCTTAGGTCTACTTTTGATTAACAAAAACATTACAATTCATGAATAATAAACTCCTACTATTCCATAATAATGGAAGACACAGGCCAGTGATGGCAAACCTGTAAAGTTTTAAGTGATACAAACAGCCCACTGGGGCACACATGCCATAGGTTCACGGTCACTGACATAGGCGATCCAGAAATCATTCATATCATATCTAATTTAAATATAAGAGCTATAATGTAGGAGGTAGTTCAGTGATCGAGCACATCCTTAGCATGGACATGGCCCTGAGTTCAATCTCTAGCATCACCACCACCAAAGAAAAACCACCTCTATAGATATTTCCTTTAGTGTCTTACATGTATTTCCTGTGCCCAGGGGTATAAACTAATGAAAGAGGAGTCCCCACAGTCTACTGCATTCAAGCCAGGCTAGAATTAAAAACTGATTATAAATGCCTAACGTGAGGACAATCAACAGAATGCAAAGTTAATACAACTATACATAAGTAATACAAGCACATAAAACTAATATACAGTATTAGTAAGAAAAATCTATTGTATAATTCAATAATTGCTTCTTTAATTCTCCCTTCTTAGAAAGGGAGAAATCAAAATTAAAAGTGCATATCAAAGCTTAATCAAAGCTTATATATTAGTATTTATTAACATTTATAATATAATTAATAATATAGATTATAATATATTTTATATTACAATAGATATATTTATTTGAATATATTATAATTATTGTATAAAATAACTTATCAGGACTGTTATTTCATATAGAACTGTAATGAAACACCAACTACTAATTTAAATTAATATGTTTTAGACATTTAATATCAGATTTTAGATATTTAGATATTTAATATCTAAGAAAGACAAGATGGGTTTTTTTAATGTTTTAGAAAATTGTTTTAATTATATATACCATCAGAATGTGTTAAGGCAAGCTCAGGCTAAATTATTTACGAATATGGAGCAGTAATTCGGAAAGCATATTTTGAAAGTTTTCCATTTAAAGGACCAAAGTGTTAGTGCTGATTCTGTCATCTAAAGAGTAAGTTATCAAAAATGCAAAGTCAGTGCAACGATCTTTGTTAGTGAAGGAAGCAGTGCTACGAGGAAGTTTTCGGTCCTCCACAACCCTTACAGCCGTCTTCGCAACAGGACTCGACAAGGACATGCGCAAAGGCAACTGTGCGGCACAGGAATGCGAGCAAGAGCAGTGCTCTCCACTGCCTGCGTGATTCAACGTGAGATATATCTCCTTTCTCAGCTGTAAAGTAAGGATGCCAATACTTCCTCCTACTAAAAGACTATGCAAGATAACCGATACAGCTCTGGGTCAGGGCCTATCACAAAGCGTTGAAATTATGGTTCCCATTTAATACATACACAGGCAGATAAAGAAATAGGACAGACATGTGCATAGTCAGTATGCACACGCGTTTCCCACCTCTGGCTACTCAGAACCTAGAAGCACCGACACCTGGTGATGGCAATGAACAAGCACAGCTCTGCTCAGATCTCTGTTTCTAAATGCTGTTCACTGAGGGGAGGGAACCAAACTCTGGAAAAGTGACTGCTTCCAAGTGTGTGGGACAGAAATAGACTAAGACGAGAATAGAAGCCAGGAGTGATGGGACACATCTGTAACCCTCTGGGAGGCTGAGGCAGAACGGCAAATTCGGACTCAACCTGGGCAACTTAGTGACATAGCAAGATGCTGTGTCAATGGTGGCAAACCTACGGCAAGCGTGTTATTGTGTTTTTCTTTTAAGCCAAAAGATGTTAATGGAGAGCTGTTTTTTCTAAAGTAAAACCTCAGGACTCAGGTTTCTTTGCTGTGTTAGCACTCTGCAGTAAATAAGTGGGTAGTGGGTTGCAATCTGGCACTGTCTCTAAAGGGTTCGTCATCACTCCCTATATCAATATAGAATAATAAGAAGGCTATGGATGTAACTCAGTGCAACGGCCCTGGGTTCCATCTCCATTACCACACCAAGGCGGAGGGGCAGAACATTCCATGCACTAGAAAATAAGGAAATACGCAGAAAAGGGATAGGGGCGTGGCAAAAAGACAGAGAAGCCAGCCTACAAGAGGACCTAATGGCACAAACAGGGACAATACAGGCAAAATCAAGTGACAGTATTACACTATACCCACAAAATAAACATCTACGAGTCTGTACTGATATAAATAGCTGAAGTGTTTGGAAAGAAAGGACAACTCTTCCTCACAGAACTCCAGTCAGTAAATGCAGACAAAAACAGAAAATCACCTTCAAGCAAACACTACACTAAGAACTACTGCAGAGAAGAACCACTGTAGCTACTAAAATTAGTAACTAGGCAAAAGGTTGAAGAGAAACAGGAGATTTATTCACTATGAGAAAAATAGTAACATTATTGGAGAGAAACCTGGAGACACAGGCTAGTACTGGGTTAGTAATAAGACACTGCCATCATGACCCCAGTAGGGAGTCCCACCAAGAACACCGCTGTGCCCTCCTCGCCAGAAATGCTTAACCTCATTTAATCATGAGAAGATGTCAGGCAAACCCAAGTTGAGGGACATTCTACAAAGGACTGAGGTAACAAACAATAAAAATTTAGAAAGTGTCACAGATTCAAAAAGACTAAGGTCACATGACAACCAAATGTAAGGTGAGACTCTGGATGAGATCCTGGATCAGAAATACGAAGTTAAAGAAAAAACTAGTACAAATCAAATAAGATGTAGAGTTTAGACAGCAGCACTGCACTGATTTTAATTCTGTGGCTTATTAATTATGCCTATGTAAGACATCAATATTAGGAGCAGACAGGTGAGGGGTGTGTGCAAACTCTGCAGCTTTACCATGTTTCTTGTCTTTTTTTTAGTACCAAGAATCAAACTCACAACCTTGTACTTGCCAGGCAGGCGCTGTGCCACTGAGCTACAACCCCGGCCCCACCACTTTTCTTGAAGTCTAAACTTATTTCAAAGTAAAAGGTTTTTTAAAGTTATTTTAAAACATGATTCCCATAGTTACCTATGTACTATACAGTATCTATCATTGCTTTGCTTTAAAATCAGCAAGTCATGCTAAAATACCCTTGAATTGTCAAAGCTAAAATATCTATTTCTAAAACCTATAATTCTAAAACAAAAAAAATCAATAAAGCACATGCAAGATCTCATTACCTGTAATTTTATAGCCATAAGCAGCTAGCTGTCCAGCCATATATTCTCCATCTGAATTATTATGTGAACAACCCCACGTGCGTATCCAAATTTTCTGTATGCCTGGAATAGTGCTGTAGGGTAATCAATACAAAAAGTCTCATTAAATGATTTTTAAAATAAAGGCCGGTAAATGATTGCAAGGCACATTGCACAAAAAACAAACTATAATCAATTCACAACTGTTCATGAAATGCACCAATTTCATTTAAAACCTGTTATTACATCAGAAGCCTAACAGCAAGACAAAATAATATAATTTTAAGAATCTCTATGTTGAAAAAATCTCCTTTTTTCTGAATTGTATTTTTAAGTCCTATTACTAAGCATACTACTACTAATTTAACTTCTAGAAAGATTCATGCAAGCAGGCATGGTGGTGCACACCTGTAATCTCATCTTCTCAGCAGGATGAGGCAGGAGAACTTTTCAAAATAGAAAGGGATGGGGGTGTAGCTCAGTGGTAGAGCACTTGCCTAGCATGGGTGAGGCCCCAGGACCTCAAAAAAAAAAAAAAAAAGAAAGAAAGAAAGAAAGAAAGAAAGAAAGAAAGAAAGAAAGAAAGATGCATTAAAATACCAGCCACACAGAAAACAGTTCTAGTAGTAACAGCAAATAGAGAAAAATGAAATGTATCTTTCTGTTTATAGAACCCTATATAGTAGTTGCAATCTTTATCTAGTTTAGAACATACAGATGTAAGCAACTCCAAAATTAACAACTGTGACCCTCCATCATTACTAAAAGTACTCCATCTATAAAAATAGAGTTCAAAAAAAATGTAATATCTTTAAGAAGAAAGATTCTCAAATTAGATTGCCCTAATAATTTGTAGGTTAAGAGAAACTACCTGAAGGGCATATTTAAGACAAGCTTAATAAACTCCAATCAATAAAATATTTGTTTCTGGTGGAGTTTCTTGTGGTACAAAGGGTTGAGCCCAGGGGCTCCCCGAGGCTAGGCAAGTGCTCTACCCTGAGTTAAAAACCTTGTCGTCATTAAAATATAAGCAAAATATAAATTCATGGATTTTAAAAGCTTAATGTTCCAAACAAAATAATTAAGCATATTAAAACTTCCAATAATTTATTAGATAAAAAGTTATAGTTTTTAAAACTGTACAACTATATAATCCTTTCTGGCAATATTATATTTTACTGATTATAGATATTTATAGGAAACTGAATGCATCTTGAGACCATAACACTAAATGAAGTAAATCACACATAGCTAAATACCATATGGTTTCTCTTATATAAGAACTCTAAAGTATAAATAATTTAAAGAGCAAAATAAAAGACATGATAGGAAACAGGAAGGTAGACTTTACACAGATGGGGGTGGTCTGGGGATGAACTGGGGAGGAAAAGGGGAGGTAAAAAGGATTAAGATGTAATATGTACGTGTCCCAACCTCTCATGAAAAATGTATTCATTATGTATTGCAAACATACACTAAAATAAATTAAAAAATTTAAAACAACAAAAAATAATTTAATGGACTAGAGTCCTACCATAATAGTGTACACAGGACAGTGACTTTTTTTTTTTTGAGACAAGGTCAAACTCATGGCAATCCTCCTGCCTCAGCCTCCCGAGTCTGGAAAGTACAGGTGTGAGCCATCACACCCAGATAACAGCACAATAATTTTTATGTCCAATGCCTTTACTTGATCCCTAAGTATTCATAAATTTCTTAAGACTAGTCAAATGTCACACCAGGAACGGTGGTGCACACCAACTACTTGGGAGGCTTATGCAGGAAGATCACAAGTGAGATCCTGTGTCAAAATAAAAAAGTTTTAAAAAGCTGGAGGTGTAGCTCAGTGGGTTTAACACCCATAACCACCAACACCAGAAAAAAATCAAATATTCAAAATACCACTCTCATAAGAATCACAAACTGCAATTATAATTTGGAAGTAATACAGAATTGGATATAGTAAAGATTCCTATGGGTCCTAGGTCCTATTTTCAAACAACATCCAACTGGACATCTATTTTAACCAATTATTTCCTTGCCAAACTTAAAATCATTCAAATAAACAAAATCTATGCTCCCAATCAAAAGCTCAAAGATTCTAAAAGAGATATTGTGTGTATCAGACTAAATAGTGCCAATCTCTCTCTTGGAATGAAAACTGAATAATTTCAAGGAAAAAAAGCTTACCTATCACTTGGTGGACTGTTTTCCTCTTGCAAATATGTCTGGGTATTTCTTCTTCGCACCTTTGGAACAACATGCTTTCTTGAAAAATGCCTATCCTGTGGCTTTGAATCTTCCTGTGATACAATATCTTCTATGTCATCCAGTAGCATATCGCAGGCTGCAGAAGGCATCTTCTCTATCATTAAACAAATTAGAAATAACACAAGCTTCAGACAATCTGCTTAACACAACATCACCTATGAAAAAAATTCTCAAACTTGAACCTAATCAAGGCTTTAAGATCTAACATCTGTCTTACACAAAATGGAGGAGATAAACATAAAGAAACATCTAGACAAGTCCCATTGACAGGAGGACGTTCCAACACTCAACTATTTCTTCAACAAATCAATACCATGGAGAAAAAAGTAAACTGACTTTTTCGAGATTAAAGGAAACTTAAAGCGCCTAACCAATCTCTATCAGCTAGGAAGGACAGTGGTGCTGAAGACACTCAACTATCAGTGCTTTGACCAAACCTCAAAAGCACCTGTGATTTCATACTACTGGACCATTCCTCATTTCCTTGGGAGTGGTAGCTCTCTATATGCTTGCTGTGGCTAAATTAAGAAAGACGGCAAATGTAGATTTCTACAGAAATTATGATTCCATCAGAGATTTTGAGATGAAGGCTGGTGGTATCTTTCAAGGCACAGTGACTTTGGAATGTAAAAAATTTATTTGGTCTGAGTTCCACAGAAGTTTGTCACTGACCTGTGTTCTTGAACTATGAAAGATGACTATGTGGGTTAAAGAATAGTTTCCCTTGATAAATAATTAACAAAATTTTTAAAGCCCTAACAACTAACGCAATTCATGCTCTTGATTAGATCTTACTTTCTCCAAGCACCTATAATAAAATTGGGGAACAACTAGGGTAAAATCAGGGTATGAACTGGATATTAGATAACATGAGGACCTTATAAATCATTACAAATAAAATACTGTCCTTATGTTCAAGAAAAAATTTTAAGAGATGCATATTGAAATTTACAGCTTTAGTGTCATTATGTCTATAATTTAAAATTTCTCAGAAAACAAAGATTAAGACATAGGAAAAACATTTACAACTCTTTTTTGTTTGTTTGTTTTTCTCCGGTACCAGGAACCGAACTCATGACCTTGCGCTTGCCAGGCAGGCACTTTGCCGCTGAGCTAAATCCCCAGCCCTACAACTCTTAAATCTAGGAAATAGGTAACTAATGTTCATTAACCTATGATACTATTCTGAATGTTTAAAATTTTTATAATTTTTTTTTGCGACAAGGTCTCACTATATAGTTCAATGTAGTATGTAGCCCAGGATGGCCTTGAATTCACAGCAATCCTCTGGCTTCAGCCTTCTAAGTGCTGAGATTAACAGTGTACACCACTATATCTAGCCAAAATTGTTACAGTTAAAAAAGAAAATGGAGACACAGCTTACAGGAAGTTAGCTATACTTTTCCTTATCTCTCCCACAAAGAACACTAGACATTGGGGGAGGGCTGCGAAGCTCTGGACATCAGCTACAAAACAAGACGACTTAAAAGACAGAGAAAAGGCAGACAGGCTAGGAACTTCAGGGCCCACGGTCATGAGTTCCTTGGGTTTTCTTTTACCTCTTCTATCCAGAACTTGGAGCTGAAGAAGCCAGCAATCCAGAAATGCCAACAGACACCAACAGTAGCAGCACCCTCCCCATTAAAAAAGGTTTCTTTCTTATCAATGAACTAGCAAGATTAAAAAAACTGTTAGACAATAATAGTTCTACTCCAGCCAAATATACACAAAGTATAGTACCACTCACAGGGAAGCCACAAGGCCCAACAAGGAGCAGGGAGTCTTGACTTCCACCCTTTAATAAGGCACCCCAACATACCCTGTTCGGGTGAAGTCAGAGAAGACCAAGTAGGGACTCTGGACTTTCAAACCAACTGACCAACCAATAAGGAGGCCCCACAATATCACTAAAGACCAAACTGACAGAGGTTTAGAATAATCTCTATCAAATTTCTAGCAAAATCTTTTTGAAAACATGAAAAAGAAACCTATATAGAAAAGTAAAGGAATTAATACATCTAAAATAAGTTTAAAAAGAAAAACAGCAGGAATTGGTCTGCCCAATTTTAACTCACTGGATAATATACTAATTCAGACTTGATGGAGGATAGAGACACAGACCAACAGAACAGGAAACCCAGAAACAGACCCACATAAATATGCCCGACTCATTTTCACAATAGTGCAAAAGCAATCCAATGGAGAAAAGAGCTCTTTCAACAATTAGCACTAGAGCAATTAGATACTTCTAGGCAAAAAGACAGAACAGTGGCCCGAATCATACCTTATACAAAAATTAACTCAAAATAAATCATGGACTTCACTGTAAAATTAGGGGGAAAAATCACAGGAGAAAAGCTTCTAGACCTAGGTCTAGGTAAAGAGCTCTTATACTTGACAACAAAAGTTCAGTCCGTAAAAAGAGAAAGTGTTAAGTCAGATGTCATCAAAAGGCGGCCCTGTAAGAGAATGGGAAGTCAAATCACAATGTGGAAGAATACTTGCAAACCACACAGCCAACAAAGGACTAGCTGCTAGAACTCAAAACACACCAGTCAAAAATAATTAGAAAATGGACATAAACATAAAAGAAATTTCACCCAGGAGGATATACAGAGAGGAAATAACCACATGAAAAGACATTGAAAATAACCCACCAAAGACACAGAAGCCAAATTCACAAAGTGGTATCATGACATACCTGCATCTCTACATTAGAATGGCTAAAATGAAAAACAGTGAACACAGCACACACTGGCAAGGATGCAAAGAAATAGGACCATTCCTATAGTCCTGGTAGAAATGTAAAATAGTACAGCCACTCTGGAAAAGGGGTTGGTATTTTCTTAAAGACTTAATCATGCAACTATGATACAAACCAGCAGCTGTACCCCTAGATGTCTTATCTAAGAACAATAAAAATTTACATCCACATAAAAGCCTGTATATAGATGTTGAAGCAAGTTTCTTTATAACAGCCCAAAACTGATGCCCTACAAAGAGGGAATGGTTAAACAAGGCTGGTACGTGCACTGCAGAATACTACCGGGCATAAAAAGGAAGGTACTCGTGACACCTGCAACAACCTGGATACAGCTCAAGAGCAATCATGCTGAGTGCACTGTCAACCCCAAAAGGTTACATTCTATAAGGCTTCATTTATATAACACACTTGACAGGACAAAATTATAAAAATGAAGAACAGAACAGTGGTTGTCATGGATTAAAAAAGGGAAGGAGGGAGGGAGGATTATAAATGGCAACGTGAGGGGTCCTCGTGGCGTGGAAATGTTCTGTACCATGGACATTTCAATGCCCGTGTCCTGCTGGTGATACTGTATGTGGTTTTACCAGGTGTAACCGCTGAGGGACCTGTTTAAAGTATACAAGGATCTCAGCGTAATTTTTACAACTGCAAATGAATCTAACATTATGCTAAAATGTTAAGAAAAAATACAAGAGGTGGGGTTGCTCAGTAATAGAGCACTGGCCTGCCATGCACTAGGCTCTGGGTTCCATCCTCAGGACCACGAAAAGAAAAAAAGAAAAACAGAAGAAAAAAAAAGCATAATCTGGGGAAAAAAGAAAATGTCTTTGAGATTGGAGTACACTGACTGATAATTCTATTACCATATCCAGACACAAAGCAAGTCCTTTTCACAACTTGCAGTGGGCCGCAAATCTTCCCGATGGACTCCCCTCTTCCTCTGCTAGATTCTTTCTATTCTCATCACTCAGTGAACAGGGTGGTGTCACCCAGGCTTATTTTTGTGCCTATTACTCTTTAATATATTCCTTTTTTTTTTTAAGGCAGGGTGTTGCTGTGTAGTTCAGGCTGGCCTTGAGTTCACTACATAACTCGGGCTGGCCTCAAACTTGGAGTGATCTTCTTGCCTCAGCCTTCCAAGTTCTGGGTTTAGAGGCATGCACCACCATACCCACCTTGTAATATACTCTTTCCAACTATAACAAGTATGCACTGTGAACCAGACAAACTTTTGTCAAATTTCAGCTAACTTTATATTGTTAGTAAGAACAAAAGAGAAGAAATGGTCCAAATGTCAATTAAGAATGGTTGTAACTCACATAGATACCATGAGGTCTTGGTAGGATTGCCAATCACAGGCCTCCCTTCCTAGACACAAGAATGGGGCACATGACCCAAGGCATCCCAAGTAACCCACTAACCCACCATCTTGGCCACAGTAATTCAGGATCAGTCATGATAAGCCCAGCCACTCAGAAAGGACTACAAGCACTTCTATGCTACAGCTAATGGAAGAGACAGCTTCTCTTTTCACTGAAGTGGCAAACTTGGGAAGATGTCAACTTGAGGAATCCCCGGGGCCATCCTGCCTGCTACATGAAGAAAGCCTACCTAAGCAATGAAGCTGAACAGGAGATAGAGTGGTAAAGAGCCATACTGACACTATTTCAGCACCTGGATCCAGCCATGACCTGAACTCAGGTGCAACTCTGCCCAGTCAGGTGAGCCACCAAATTCCCTCTGTGCCTTAAACTGAGTTGGGCTTTCTGCTCTTGCAAACAAAAGCTTTGAAAATTCAGCAATCGAGGCAAAATGAAATGAACCAGGTTAGTCTTTCCCAAAAGACTAACTAGTTATTTGCAATATCAGTGAGAAAAAAAAAATGGTTTTGTGGTCAAACAGATTTAGGAACATCTACCTCCAGATGCACAGTACATGTTATTAAAGACTATGGAGAACTATAGTTAAAAAAAAAAAAAACTTTAAACTCGTTTATCTTCTAGGAATTTTCTAAACTTTCCTTTCTTACAGATCTTTCAAAAAGTAAGGACGGGACTGAAAGCAGAAGACCTAAATTGATGCACACCCTCAATCCCTCCCAGTCTGCACAGCTGGATGCCTTCCTTCTTTCACTGGGAAATGACTCTGTGCCCATGCACGCTGCCTTCCAATGTGTTACTGTGGATGAACTGTCCACTTCTCTAAGAGCAGCCCTACTCCTGACCAATTAAAGCACAAAACTCCAGCAATGCTCCCTCTTCCCATATCATCACTAAGCTCTCTCTACTGAATCATCACTATCTGGAAATAAATACCCCGTTATTTCTCCCATGAAAGCGATAAAAATAACAGCAAAAAATTAAAAAACCTCTTGACTCAACTTCCTCCTCTTAGCCCTACCACATTTCTCTCTTTTAAAGATGAGTCCCTTGCAGAAGTAGTATATTTACAGTCTCCATTTCCCATTCATAATTCTCCCAGGAAACAGAGAATTAGTCACACACACACACACACACACACACACACACACACACACACTACCAAAACTGCCTGATACCAGTGACTTCCAATGAAGTATGCCATGACCAATTCTCAGTCACCTTAGGTCAGTGATGACAAATCTTTTAGCGCATTCAATTACAAACAGCTAGCTGCAGCACGTGTGCCACAGGTTTGCCACCACTGCCTTAGGTGATATGATTTGCAGCATTTGATAGCACTGACCACTCCCTCCCTAAGGCATTTTCTTTCTTTGCTTCTAGGATGCCACACTCTTCTCATTCTCCTC